CGCTCTGGGATGCGACAACGTCAAGACTAGTGTTTAGGTGTCTAACAGATTCGCCCAGTACAACTAGCTGTGTGTGTCCTGGGTTCAATGGGTTCGAGAGAAGCTTGCAGTCTGTATCTGTATTATACTCTTCAAATTTCCTTTTAGCTTGACCATTAAATGGGTATACATCTGGTTTCTTAAAAGCTTCATAAGCCTGGATGATCGACGATTCTTCTGATGTACCTCGTTCAGCAAAACGTTTTTCTTTCTTATAGGATTACTACTATTGCCCGGAATATTTTCATCAGAAGCTGGCGGATTATGTGAAAAAGGTTGTATTGAAGTCATTCAACGGAAAACTAATCCCATCGGTCTCGTTCCCATCGTGATTGGGAGATAATTTGGGCGAATACCTACTTTCCGAGCAAATCAATGCTAAGTAGATGGACGCTCTTGGAAAGTTTCAAGTGCAATGCCATAATGAAACAGGCAAGGTCAAAGTGTCGACAGCGACAAATCCTGTGATATACGCCACGCCAAATATTTTTATTCAGAATCGTAGGAGCACTTGATTACCCATAGTACATGCAATGATAACCATTTAATGATTTAAAATGTTTGCATAAGAGAACTTAATGAAGCTAAATTTCAATATTTCGAAAAAAAAAACAGTCTAGGTTTTCTCCTGGAACCCCACAAAGGTAGTGTGCTTGCATGCTCAAGACAATAGGTATAAAGCTCGAGAGGAAGACAGTATTAGCTGTCTTACCACTTGGAATGATGAAGTTGCTGCAGATGTTCTCCTACTTCCAACTTTAATTTCAATGCTTACTTCAGAATGCTAACTTTGCGTTTCTTTTGGTTTTCAATATCCTTTCTGGAGAACCAGGATCGGCTAGGTTTGCAAAAATGATAGCTGGAAATGACAGTTACTGTGGTAGGGCTCATAGTCACTCAAATATGAAGAATTCCACTCCCGCCTATGATTGCAGGCTTATCCTTAAGCTGCTTTCCGAGGGGGGCTACAACAAAGTCAACAGTGGGCATTTGCATACAACTATATGGTCTCCCCTATTGTTGCAGCTCTAGAGGGCAGGCTGAAGTGCTTTACTACTACAGGAGGTATCGTTCACCTTTGTTCTATTTCCTTTCAATGTTTATTGGGTAATGTATGGGCATTCAGTAGCCAGTCATTGGCCTGCTCTCCAGTGAGCTCTCTCCCACTCAGTTGATTTGGGGAAACCTTGTTTTTTATCAGTTTCATTCGCACAATCTTCGTCTCTGAAATCTTATTGGTTCATTTTGAACATACTTATATGTATTAGTAAGGGAGCCCGGATGAACAGTGTTGCTACCGATGTAATAACAGTTATAGAGGAGAAATAGTTTGTCTCGACCCTCAAGGGATACTTCGTTGTCGCGCCATTATGTGCCGAATTATCGGATCGAACCATTTCCAGCCATCATTTTGTGAGCTTAGTTATTCAAAATTTACTCAGCATAATTTCTTGTTAATTAAAGTTTCGTAGTTGGATATAGGGATGGAGGTGATGTAGTTTGAACTAGCTTATTCCACACACGCATGGTTCACGCGGGGATTGAACTATGAATCGAGACCAAGTCGGTCGAATGGCTACCATCTCTTCGGGTCGAACAATTCGTACCGGACTTGTTTGAGAGGATAAAAGGTAGATGGTCCGCGACAGCCGCGTGCGGCGGATCGATCACACAAAACCGTTGCTACTGCCCGTCCCCCCACTTCAGTGGGTGTGTGTGTGGTCTATACATACTCGCGGTGGCCATCCAGAGTACCAGTCAGCGCTTTTATGCTTCCTGACGAGTCTGGTATCAACTTACCAACTGCGGAGGGATGGAAAACCTGGTTGGCCTAAGCGCATGTTGATCCGGGTTTCGAACCCATGACCAAACATGGGTGATAGTGCGCCACTTGCCACTACATTACCTCCGCCTTGGACCACACATAGAACAAACCACTCAGCACTGGTAATTCCGTCCATAGTTGGGCTATGTTGATGGGTTATGTTACTTTACCCATCTCTTTTTGAAGTTCCAGATATCACTGTTCCTTTGCCTCCAACTGTGGTCTGTTCGATGTCCATTACGATACCATGGACATTGTCGATATAACAACCGTGGAGCGATGAGTGGGTGAATAATAATTGAAGCAATACCAGCTGCTTGGCGCATAAAAAGCACTCTCCCATGCAATCGAGCGCAACGCTCAATGAGGGCTTTGCTGGATCCCTTTGAAAAAGTCCGAGACCAGCCAGAGCGCGCCTTCTCAATGACCACCATGCGACCAGAACTTGGCCTCAGCCGTTTCCAAAAGCTGGCGAAAAATCAATAATTTACCAGGTCATGGCCCATTCTGGTGCACAGCTTGGCTGTGACCATTTATTTTTTATCTGAACCACCTTCCACGAGCATCCGAAATCCCACTAATGAGAACGCAATTAACCTACCTTCAAGAAATTATTGACAGAATCCCAACCTTGAGTTGCTATTTACAAACACCTTCAGGGTTATCTAGGGTGACTGTGTTATTTGTTTACAGTAGAGGTGTAAGAAAGAAATAGATTCGTGTAGTGGTTCAGTCGTTACGGTAGAAAACAATGTTGGGAGTTGGCATCACAGGTTACCCCGAGCTGTTTATTTAAGGCACCGTTCGTAGAATGATGAAAATGATTTTGACATCTACTTCTTGGTAGGATCTTATGCTTCCCAGAAGATCGTTCGGGGCAATGTCAGTCTAAATATTGCGCAATAAAGGCTCAAAACCGATTCTACTGCAATACTCTCAGGGCAGGACGTGTTTTACGGCCTAGTCAGGATACGACATTATTCAGAATGGAGCAACTTTGTTGCAACTACAACACAATAAACTGATACATGCTAGTAACTATCATACGTAGCTAAGTAGCAAAAATTATAAGATCTCTCCCTCCTCGTCGAACCTTAAGAATGCTCAAAATGGACCTCCTATTTTGCGGACCCTCTGGATTTCCTCGTATTCTGAGCCCAGGTAAACTACTCTACAACAACTTTTTAGCCCTGCTACCTCATGAAGGCACATGAAAATATCGAACAGTGACAACAAGTAGATGGTCAAAAGTTCAATACTAGAATAAGTTCAAATTTACCGCATAGCGATCCGATGTTTGACGATCGCTGTCATCTAATTGATCCGGGAAGAAAGCGTCTGATCGAATTTCTGAGTCTATTCCTGAAAAAAAAGAGAAATTTTTAAGTAAGAGTACCCGAAGCACCCATTTTCCAATGGAAGCTTCGATCACTTTCAACTATCTGATGAGATTTTTGTGACGCTTGATCTGGATGTTCCTTAGATTATTTTGAATTTCTGAAAATCTTACCTAATCTCCCTAGGCTGGACTCCAATTTTCTTCGATGATTTGACGAAATTCTATACATTATTTCCGGAAGTGAGAATTGTGGGCAACTCTCCAGAAGTTCGTGAACGGTTGACACCTATAAAGTTTTGTGTAACGTATAAGTAATCCAGTCTTGCGCCTGGGAATACTAAAATTCATTGAGACCATGAAAATGGAAAAAAAATTGTGTGATGTTTGATGATTTGCTTCAAAAAAAACCTCGCATTCTTTTTACGTCTGACACTAAACTATACATGAATTCAGGCTGGATGCTAAGACTGGATATTCAGG